AGAAGACCTGAAATACATGTATTTGTATTAACTTTCTAAAAATTATTGAATATTATAGTTCTTTTATGACAGCTCAATGCATAATACATGTATTGAATTATACATAACACACGCACTCCTCTAATCATTTATTGTTTGATGTCTCTCTTTTTCTCCCTCTCTCTCTTTCTTTCAGGGTTAATCACAGTAAAAATGCAATAGTTAAGCCACAAGGTAAAGCTCCTGATGTAGCTCAGAGAGAAGTTGATGAGGCCATGAGGAAAGTGAGACAAGCCAGCCACTCCATTACTAATGTTATTGAGCCAGGTGAGGGGGGGAGGGGGAGTGAGGGAAGGATTAAATATTCCTGTTGCAGGTGCCAATAAGAACGAAGAAAAAGAAAAACGATCTCGTTCAAAGTCTCGCTCAAGGTAAGCCCTGCCTCTTATAATTAGTGGGTGTAGTTATGTGTTTATTAGGTCGAGATCGCGAGAGAGAAGACACGAGAGAAGGAGACACCGTTCACCATCACCTTATGAGAGGAGGAAGAGGAGGAGCTACTCAAGATCACCTAGAAGATACAGTAGGAACTGGAGGTGAGAATGTATTAAGTAGTTATTGGTACTGGTTATTCAGTAGTTATTAATTCTAGTTATTAATTAGTAATGCTGGTTATTAAGTGATTATTAATGGTGGCTATTAGGTAGTTATTAATGCTATTTATTAATTAATTTTGTGTTTATTATAGAGATTACAGAGGTGGGAGTAGTTACAAAAGAGGTCATCGATCTCGTTCTAGGACTCCACCTCGTCACTCCTATCACTCACACCGTTCTTCCTATCGTCATCGGTAACCATAGCAACATATTGACTCCACCCACTTTCATTGTATTTATAGTTCACCTGATAAAGATAGGAGGAGACACTCACGATCAAGAAGCCGTTCAAGATCTCATTCACCAAGAAGGAAATCATCATCAAGGTTGAATAAATACTTTATTTATTATTTTTATTTATTTATTTTATTATTATTTCAGACGTAAGGATAGAGTGAGGGATTATTCCTACAGTCCTAGTCCAGAGAGGAGGAGGAGTAGTAAGAAATCTAAAAAAGACAAGAAACACAAGAGAAGGTCTCCCTCTGTCTCTCCCTCAGTCTCTCCTCCTCCACGTAAAAGTAAATGGAATTAATACTAATAAATATTTGATTGTTACTACTAAGAATGTACATGTAGATCTACTGCATTAGATAAGAATGGAACAAATGTAAAAATATTGATACTCAGAATGAATGACTGTTTGAATCAAATGGTTTGAAAATGGAAATGCTACTTTGACTCTTTATTGAACTTTAGAATGTTCACAAGAACGAATGAATTTTGAATGCCAGTACATTTGTCATATTCCTACTACTAGATGACTACTATATTTATTATTATTTTATTTTATTCTTTAGGAGGTGGTTCTGATAAAGGTGAAGGAGAGGAGGAGGAGATGGAGGAAGAGGAAGAATTCTCTGATGGAAGTGCTCCTTCTGAGGAGGAGAGACAATCAAGTCCTTCACCATCAGAATAGAACACTTTTTGTAATTGTTGATCCTCTCTTTCTAACTAATAAAATTAGAAAAAAGATTATCCAGCATAGCAGTGAGGAACAAAGACTGCTTTTGCTGACCTCGGTTGTCAGTAGTAGATGTATCCAATGAATAACTGATATGCTGCACTGCTGCTACTCTAGCAAATATCTGTGCTACTGTAGCAAATGAGCCACGCCCTTGTTTACTGAATTTGTGCTTTTTATTGGTCGTTTCTGGACGGAATCTGCTAGACTAGTTGTTCCACAAAAGTCCTCAGCCATGATTGATTTGTGTCAGTGGAGAGCTAGAATAGGATCTTGGAACTGTTCCCGCCATTTGAGACAACCCAGTGCTTGTACTAGTACTGGTAACACTTACTGTGGAACTGATAGAGCTAGCACTGGTAATACTGCACAAGTGAAGACCCCTAGACTTGTTTTGTCTATTTTTTGTCTTCTTATCCTCCTCTTCATATCAGGAGATGTGGAACTTAATCCTGGGCCCACTCTTACAGGTAAGGCTGAATGGCTGATGTATCATATCTCACCTGGCTTCTACACATCACAGATAAGCCAACAAAAGATGAGCTTGTTGAGTTATTGAGTAGCTCAAAGTTTACTGCTGGTACTTGGGAACAGTTTGTATGTTGTCTTCCTAACATGACACAAGATATCATTACTGGAATCAAAGAGAGAGGATCAATAGAAGAGGATGCCATGAGTGCTGTAGCTCAACGTTGCTTTGATAATAATCCTGATATAACATGGTCAATAATCAGGACATCACTTTTAAATGCAAATGAACACATTTTGGCTCAGCAAATTTTGACAGATAGTAACAAGAAAGGTTAGAAGTTATCTAAATCTTTTATATATAAAATCATCTTTTATTTCTTCAATAGGGACAAAAGTAGATGCCACTGTAACAGTTGAGACTACATTGAGAAAGCATTTTGCCTCTTTATTTTATGCCACTGAAGATTGCTTGGAATCTGTTACTGTGGAATTTTTTTCTAAGAGCCTTATTAGCAGAGATGTTAGAAAATCACCATCTTTTTATAAAATTGCAAACGAATTTGTCGCTTTGTTATTTTTTTGTGAAGAAGATATGGCAGAATTAGAAGAGAATTGTCGTAACTTTGTACATTGCCTTGCCAAAGCAGGTGGTCCAGCTAAAGATGCAGCCATTGCACTAGCTGAAGATTGGGAGCATGAAGTATTGAATAAACATAATTTGAAATGGTCTCTTATAGTTGGCATTGAAACTTCCACTGATTTATCTATTCCTTCAAAAATTTCACTGAGCATTGATGATGAAAAACCTCAAGAACTGGAATATTTTTTTAAGGAATTTCTTTCTTTGATGCTTGATATCAGAAAGTACTACAACAAGCATTATAATGTTAAAGATATTGCTGGCTTTGTAACCGACTATTTAGAAAAGCGTCCTACTACAGAGCTTCTAACTAATTGCAAAGATATTAATAGCTTATTTGAATTAGTTAGACCTCATTACAGTTTTTTTGATTTTGATTTACTTGAATACCTTGCAAAACAATTTCCTCTTAAAAAAGATCGCAAATTAGAGCTGAAGTTTAACAGTTATGTACAGAAATTACAACAATTTAAAAACTCAACTTCAATAGAACAAATGAAGGATGCAATAAAGCTAGTACCTCTACCACATGAAGCCTCAGAAGTACAATGTAAAATTGTTATTAAATTGACTGGGGCCTGGGAAAAGAAAACAGTGGAAAATCTTAAAATCATCATTGAATACCTTGATGCTGAGCGTGCAAGACTGGTTGAAATTGATGAAGGATCAATCGTTGTTACATTTCTGGCTCTTTCAACATCACAATCTCTTATTGACAAAGTACAGAATAAAAGTCAATTCATCCAGTATCTTGGTATATTTGAAATAATCATTAATGATGAAGTTATTATTAATAGAGAGGAAGATGTCAAGTTTACATTTGAAGACTCACTCTTACATGTCATCAATCACATAGACAGTGATTCAGAATATGAGAGAGTAGCACTACTTCTGATAGAACTTAAAATAAATCTAAATTACCAGAACACTGATGGCCAGACTGCACTAATGTTAGCTAGTGAAGGTGGACACATTGAAATTTTTAAATCATTGCTACGAAATAGTGCCAATCCATTTCAGCTATCAGCCAATGGAAGATACATTGGCTTGAACTATTTAGCATGTACTGCTCTCTCTCAGCATATATACAAATCAATTGGAGGAACAAAAATTATACCACGAGGTGACACTTCAGTTGAAGACATGTTGGAAATGGCTGTTAAGGAAAGAGGAGTGAGTAGTCATTTTTATGAGCCATTCACGTATGTCATTGAAAATAATTTAAAAGAAAAGTTTCAATGGCTACAAGATTGCTTTTGTGCATTAAACAGTAGTTTCCTTGATGCAGCCACCAATATTTTATCTAGCAAAGCCTTGGTAGCAGAAACAAAACAACACTTTTTATCATATATCAAAAAAGATGCTACTGGTGAAGATGCTCATCAACTTGTGCAGTTGCTCCAGCCTCATTACTCATGTTTAAACATTAACCTTCTCACAAAACCATGTACTATCACAGAGCCTATCAAGGAACAGGTAGAAGAATACAATACTAACCTAAAGATGTTCAAAGATACCACTAGCCTACTGGAGCTTGCAATGATGACCAAAGGAATGCAATATCCTGATGATGATGGCTGTTCAAAATTAATATTAAGACTCAACAAGCCATGGTGCTCCAGGACAATCACTGACTTGAATAAAATGGAAACTTTTTACTTATCACCTATTTCATCCTTTATAACCCTTCAGAATGTACATTGTGATGCCTCCCACAGCCTTACATGTACTTATCTACTACCTCAATTACAAATTGAAGTATTAGCAGAAGCAGTTATTGAACAAATAATTTTTCTATATAAGATTGGTGTATTTGAAGCTATGATTGATGATATTCCTATCATGATGGAAGATGAAGATAAATCATTTACATTTGAGGCTGCACTGCAGGAAGCACATCAAACTAATAATGAAAAACTTTTATTATTTTTGCCTGAAATTAACATTAGTCTGCCTCCTGACACTGACCTCATAATTGCTAGTGGAATTGGGCAATTCATGACTGTTCAATTCTTACTAAATAAAGATCCAAATATTAACATTCAAGATAATGATGGATGGACTGCTTTGATGCTTGCTAGTAGCAATGGACACTACCAGGTTGTTGAACTATTACTGAGTAAAGATCCAGATATTAACATTCAAAATAATGAAGGAGTGACTGCTTTGATGGATACTAGTTATAATGGACATTACGAGGTTGTTGAACTATTACTGAGTAAAGATCCAGATATTAACATTCAAAATAATGAAGGAGTGACTGCTTTGATGTTTGCTAGTGAAAATGGGCATCACCAGGTTGTTGAACTATTACTGAGTAAAGATCCAGATATTAACATTCAAGATAATGAAGGAGTGACTGCTTTGATGTTTGCTAGTCAAAATGGGCATCACCAGGTTGTTGAACTATTACTGAGTAAAGATCCAGATATTAACATTCAAAATAATAATGGATGGACTGCTTTGATGTTTGCTAGTAGCAATGGACATCACCAGGTTGTTGAACTATTACTGAGTAAAGATCCAGATATTAACATTCAAAATAATAATGGATGGACTGCTTTGATGTTTGCTAGTAGCAATGGACATCACCAAGTTGTTGAACTCTTACTGAGTAAGGATCCAGATATTAACATTCAAAATAATAATGGAGGGACTGCTTTGATGTTTGCTAGTTGCAATGGGCATCACCAGGTTGTCAAACTCTTACTTAGCAAAGATCCAGATATTAACATTCAAGATAATCATGGATTGACTGCTTTGATGCTTGCTAGTCACAATGGACATCACCAAGTTGTTGAACTATTACTGAGTAAAGATCCAGATATTGACATTCAAGATGATGATGGATGGACTGCTTTGATGATTGCTAGTCGCTATGGACATCACCAGGTTGTTGAACTCTTACTGAGTAAAGATCCAGATATTAACATTCAAAATAATAATGGATGGACTGCTTTGATGCTTGCTAGTAGCAATGGACATCACCAGGTTGTTGAACTCTTACTGAGTAAAGATCCAGATATTAACATTCAAAATAATAATGGATGGACTGCTTTGATGCTTGCTAGTAGCAATGGACACTACCAGGTTGTTGAACTATTACTGAGTAAAGATCCAGATATTAACATTCAAAATAATGAAGGAGTGACTGCTTTGATGTTTGCTAGTAGCAATGGACATCACCAGGTTGTTGAACTATTACTGAGTAAAGATCCAGATAT